TGCATGGCCTTCCAAAGGAGCTCATCATTTTTGCATGCATTGACTGAGTTTCAGTGATTATTTGGGCATATTTTGGCATGGCATACATCTGTTTTTGGCTGGTTTAATGAGCTTTCATATGCTTCACATAGTTGTAGAACAACTCATGGTTCACTAGCTTTCTTTGCATGCTTTGTTGGACCTTGATTTTAGCACATTTTGGCCATGTCTTAAACTGATAATGTGCTTATTTTGGACTGTCCTAGCTCTGTTTTTGGGTCTTGTGGTTAAATGATGCTCGTTTTGCATGCTTGTAGTTCAATACCCATGCTTAACTTTGAGGTTTGAGGTCCATCGCATGCATATACTGAGGTATTTTTATGCCTTGGGGTCATTTTTCATCACATTTCAGAGCTTATATAAATGCCATGTTTCCATGTTTTCATCTCTTTAAATACGTTTGAGAGTCGGGCTCGTACGCCTCATTTACCGACCATTGAATGAGCTCCATTCCGTTGCATTCCGAGCTATCATTTTAGGCCATTTCCCCACTATTTCAGACCTACCTAGGGTCTGTTTGGGGTTGGTTTTGCCTTTGGTGCATTGCTTTGGATACCTCTAGTGTAATGCACTTCACTAGTTTCAGTACCCAGGCCCCCTAGTGTAGACGCGCCCGCGTGGGCCTCATGCTACAGTTCGGACTCGACTTGTGTCACGGTTCTTAATCTCGACTCGCTTCTACCCGGATTCATGCCGAACTTCTCCCAAATTAGTTTTCTCCTCTCCTTTCCTCTCTTCTTCAACTCCAAACTCCTAAACAAAGTGTTTTGAAGGATTTTCCTCCCTCCTTGCCAAAGAAACTGAACATTTCCCCTGCACACCTGTCTCCACCAAGTGAACCATCAGTAGCGCCCAAGTCTTAAGGGCGGTTAAAAATGGGGTGTCTACACCTAGCTTGCATTGTGTGCCATATTTGCATGTTTCGGGACCATATTTCATGCTATTTCAGAGCTGTAATTTATGCTATTCCATGCCATTTTCATCCCTTGCCATGCTTTGGTAGAGTGGCATTCCATGCCTTAGGTTCGGTCCTTGGTATTCATGCATGTGTGCACACATTTCGGTTGTCTCATTTTCATCTAATGGCCACTGATGTGAGTGTGGCTGAGGTCCACTCATGTTGGTGCAAGTCCATCGTGCATTGTGTATGCCATTTTGGTCCATAGCATTGTGTATACTGAGTTGCATGTTAGAGCATTGTGTATGCCATTTCATAACATTGCGTATGTTAGGTTGTATGTTAGTCGCATTGTGTATGCCATCTCATTTGCATTGTGTTTGGGATAGGAGTTAGCCCAAGCATGGGAAACAAGGGACATTTCGTACTCCGAGTGATGGAACGTGTCTCATTTCCCGGTCGCCAACACTCCAGATTACTCATGATGGAGTTTAGGTCTTGTTGTGTTTATATGTGCACTCATTTCACATCGAGTCGTGCAATTCGACTCCTCCGCCATCATGCATCGAGATGCGTGATTGGTGGCACGAGGATCGAGGACTACACTCCCTGAAGAGTAGTCATGCATACATATGTGAAAATACTTTGTTGTGCCCCTTTCTTGCTCTCTGTTGCAGCAAATCAGAAATCAATAGCCTTCCAAAGTCTTGGTCCAGAAGATGCTGGAAACCTGTTCTTCAAGGGTAAGTCCCCATTTCCCTTTTTCTTGCATTATTTTTCTCCATTGATTAGCCTTATTTGCAAGCATTTCTGGACTTTGTCATAAACTGAAAAGTGTCTTCCTTTGAGCTCCTCTTGGAGTTTTATTAAGGACACTTTTTTGTTTGAGGCCATCTACCACCTTGTATGCTCTATCCCTCTTTGTAGGCTTATTTTGCATCATATCTTAGCCCTACTTGTGGGAATTTTTGAGATTTTCCATAAACTAGAAAAAGTCTAATTAGTATACAGTATGATAGCATGTTTGCATTCATTCATCTGTATTGCATGCACCGGGCTCGGCGCATCATACTAACTGCATCGTACTTTCAATTCCAAATTGAATACATGTTAGTTGTAGCATTTCATATGCCATGTTTAGAATAGCCGAGCCTGCTATAGTTGCATTTTGCATGTGTCGCATTAGGCATTTTTGTATATTTAGGATCATGCATGATTTCTAATCAGCTTTTGTTTTGGCTTTGAGTACTCGGTAAGCGTTTATGCTTTAGCATCCTTGCATGCATGTGAATGACTGCCATGATAGCATGCTTACCATGAGGCTATCTGCTTTCGTGATATAACTGCCTGAATGCCTGTGGGTGAAGGTTGGGTTATTTGGATTGGAACAATTCATCAATTGTGAGTTTTAAGCTCACTTGAGAGTGGCAAATCACCTTATTTCAAGCCCACCCAAGGGTGGCAAATCCATATCTTAGCCTACTTGCGGGTAGCACCATCAAACCATTTTCAAAATAAACAAACATGAGATGTGTTGTTCCAATTCATGCGATCCTGTCTATATTTGTATGCTGTGTGCATCACATAGTAAATCTAGGCTAATAACCGGAATAAGAATACATAATGTTTTCAAAACTTGATATCATGGTTAGTAGAGGCCGATCTTTGATCGGGCGAGCGGGGGTGCTCATGAAGTGACCTTCCCTAATCGTACCCAAGTTCCCGAGCCGAGGCAACTTTGGTGATGACAGACACGTGGCCTTAGGCAACGAGTCAGGGCTTCCTAAATTTCTCAAAATAAAATATTTAGGTGGCGACTCTGTATCTGGCAAAGCAGTCCATGTTTGGCACTTCTTTCAAAAAAGATCTGTTTTCAAAAACGATTTGCCGGATTTGGACTCTTTGATGATTCATCGGTCTTGCATCGCACCCTGCGAGATTAGATACAGGACCGTGACTTTGAGTCCTGAACTGTGGTGAGCCCAAATGAACAAAACGGGATTCATCCTCCCGGGACGTTCGGGGACGTCTACAGTAGAACCCAAGCCTCTTTCCGGAATTATCAAAACTGGTGCGGTAGTCAATTTAGTTTTAAGTTCTTGGAATGACTTCTCCCAAGCCTCGTTCCACGCAAATTTGATACCATTTCTCGTCAATCTAGTCAAAGGTGCGGTTAGTCTAGAGAAGTCTCTTATGAAACGATGATAATACCCAGCTAACCCTAGGAAACTCTGGATTTCAAATGCATTCTTAGGTTGTTCCTAATCTTGTATGGCCTCTATTTCAGAAGAATCCACCGTTACCCTTTCTCCTGACATAACATGCCCCAAAAATTTTACCTCCATCAACCAAAGTTCACATTTCTCAAATTTAGCATACAATTGGCGCACTCTAAGCAAATCAAGCACTATCCACAAGTGTTGTTCATGTTCCTCCTCGGAGGTTGAGTAAATCAAGATATCGTTCACAAAGACAACCACAAAACGGTCCAAAATTTCTTGGAAGACTCGATTCATCAAGTCCATAAAGGAAGCTAGTGCATTGGTTAAATCGAAAGGCATTACTAAAAATTCATAATGGTTATAACGTATGTGAAATGCCATTTTCTGGATGTCCTCCTCTCTAACCCTCAACTGGTGGTACTTCGATCTCAAGTCTATCTTCGAAAAGCAACTAGACCTTTAAGTTGGTCAAATAAGTTATCTATTCTGGGTAAAGGGTACTTGTTCTTGACAGTAACTCTATTCAATTTGTGGTAATCAATACACAACCGCAAAGACCGATCCTTCTTCATAAAGAGAGCCAGTGCTCCCCAAGGTGATGCACTAGGGCGAATGAAGCCCTTGTCTAAAAGTTCTTGGAGTTAGATATTTAACTCATGCAACTCAGCAAGTGCAAATCTATAAGGTGCCATGAAAATTGGTGACGTGGCAGGTACTAAGTCAATGGAGAATTCAATCTTCCGATGAGGTGGCAACCCAGTAAGATCTTCAGGGAAAACATTAGGGTATTCACAAACTACCCTTGGCAAATCATTTCGAACCATGCTACCCTCACTGGCTAAGGAAAAGGCAAAAAGGAAACTAAGTCCTTATCGATCCTTAAGGTCAAACAACGGGGGAATTGAATCACCACCCCGATCACACAGAAAATGAAAACAATCCCCGGTAGGTGTACATACGAACACCAGGTGGCGCTGACAATCTATAGTAGCCTTGAAGTATGCCAACCAATCCATGCCCAAAATAATATCAAAAGTATGCATGTCTAAGATGATGAAGTTAAAAGAGAGTCCATGATAAGCGACCTTAATCTTGCAAGAGCAGCACACTCACCCCAATGCCACTCTACCCCCAATTGGTGACTCAACCCACAATAGCGACTCTAACTAATCAACCTCTAACCCTTATGCAAAAGAAAAATCAGTAGATATAAATGAATGCGACGTACCCGTATCAATCAACACACTAGCCAACGAATTGAACACAACAAAATTACCTCTCACAACAGAGGATCCTCGCAACTACTCCGATGTTGTAATAACATATACGCGTCCTTATGGCCTCTGAACAACCTACTCATCTCTTGGAGCATAGGTATGATGTACCAATTGAGCCGAGGTGGCTCCCTAATTAGCTTGAGTGGTCTGAACTAAATGAGCCTACTGGTGGCACTGAGTCTGCCTTGCGCGTGATGCACCTTCTAATTGCGGGCAAGCTCTCCTCATATACCCCGACTGACCACACTGAAAACATATAGGCCCTTGTCCCCTACTATGGGACTGACCCTAAGATCGGTTAGGTGGTGGTGATGGTAATATCTACTGCCCTCCTCTTTTCTGTGGGCAGGAATTGGCCTTGTGACCTAGTTGGCCACACTTGAAACAAGAGAAACTGCTTGGAGCATTCTTTCTCGGGCCAGCACTAGGCAAAGGAAAAATAGATCTAGACTGTTATGACTGGGGCTAGAATGAAAAAGTGTCCCTATTCTTCTTGCTTGGTCTAAAGTCCCTCTGTGACTCCTGGTCCCTAGACCTCGAACCCCGAAGTCTCTCCTCCTCGACCTACACAATAATCTCTACATGTGCCGCCACCTCCACAAGACGGTCATAGTTCTGGATCATATTCCCGGCAACTTTAAATAAAATCTTTGTTCTCAACCTCTTCTCAAATTCTATGCAACGACGTTCCTCCGTTGCCACCAACTCCGGTGCAAATTGGGATAAACTAGTGAAGGCCACTTCAAACTCTGCCGTGGATAGGTTTAGTTGTTTGAGGTTTTGAAATTCTTGCCCTAGTCTCTCCCTAGTAGTGGGAGGTAGGTATTTGTCTTGGAAAGCAGTAATAAAAGCTTCCCATGTCGGTCCCACTCTACCTTTGGCATACTTCCACCATTGGCCCGCATCCCCTTTGAGATAGTAACTCGCTAGAGTCACTCTCAATTCACTATCATCAATGTGAAGCATCTCAAATGTCTTAATTGTTTGCTTCAACCATTCATCTGATTTCTTGGGCTCCGAACCCTTATGAAACTCATCTGGTTTAGTCCGCAAAAATTCCCGAGTAAGAAAAGCAGCTCTAGTCTCTATGATATTTTCCCGGGCTTGATTCTCCACCCTCAACAAGTTCATAGATCCCCTCAAGGCCCCCGCCATCTCTCTGGCTAAGGCACCTATAGCGGCTTGACCTGCTTGTTCGGGGGCTCCTTCTTGCCCCTTTGCTCGGTCACATTTGCTGGGCCTGCTTGTTCAACAACATTAGCTTGACTGAACCCCTCCTCTTGCACTGGAACCTCATGAACACCTCGGCGAGGCATACCACGCCTCCCGCCTCTACCACCATGCACATGACCTCTTTTTAACATTCTAAATAAAGACAACAATAAACAACTTAGTACAACAACACGGATGTGCTCGCAACTACATCTCAAACGTCACATCATATAAATTTTATAAGTTCTCATTTCATATAAACACTTAGTTTCACTCCAAATAAACACATTAGTCACATAAACACATACAGATTACTCCTTTACGATGAAACTTGTCCCACGAAACACTGAGAGTTCTTATCAAAATGAGCATTGATCAAGTGCCCTTCTAATAAGACTTCAAGAGATTTAATAGGCGCAAACAACATCCTAAAAGTTCAATCTCATAGCCATCTAGTCATATAAATATGTTATCACATAACATTTAAAGCATAGAACATCTCCTAGTTTAGCGAAATGAACCTATTGTGGAAAACTACCACTTCCCGTGAGCCCCAAGTATTCAAACTTGGTAGCTCTAATACCAAGTTGTAACACCCCCAAATAACTTACATAAGAAGGATTCAAAATCATCTATCATCAAGATCATAATCCAAAAGTAATAACTCTCATTACAATATATGCTCAGGAAGTATATATGTAGTCTCATCACAAACATCATCATTTAATCTCTGAGCCTCGTTTTTGTTTCATCTCAGAGGTTTACAAAAGTATTTCTACATGAAATTTTACATTCAACATTTCTAAAATATGAATCTATAGCATGTGACACCACAACTTAATACAAGTAATACCCTTATGGGCTACAAATTCCAAGGCATATGCCCGGTTACACAAAAATGGTTATCGGAACCCATACAGGTTAAGCCCTTGGCTTGTCAAAATAACAACAAAAGAGAGCCATATGCCCTCAGAACATTTCCATGCCTTCAACTTGGCGGAAACACCACATCTTTTCCTGCACAAAATCCACTAGGGTGAGCAAAAAGCTCAGTAGGAACACATTAACAAAGTATATAAATTTTTACATAATCTCATGAGATGAATGCACATGCCACGTCATGCTCAAAATAAAAACTTTTGTCTTTTGGAAAGTCTTGTGCATAATACCAATTTGATAACAGAATGATCCAACAAATTAAATGCAATTTTCAAAGAGGTGGTAAATACGACTCAGGTAATCCCTAGATTGATGTCTCCAAGTAGGCATAACAAGCACTACCAATCTCTACTTTACCGGTCTCTTACCGGAAGGCACGTGGTACCTCTTTCGAGCCTGTTTTCGATCTTTCACCATGGACACTCAGGCCAACTTAACCAATACCCAACTACACCCCTTATCTGGACTTACCAATGTATTTACCCAAAACAAATCAAAATAATCTTTCACAGAGCATTTCTTTTCTCAAAACAATAGTTTTCAATTGAAATTCGACATTAATGATAACAAATGAAATGGAATGGCAATTCGATATGCAACAATGTACTTGAATGATTCCAATCTCAATTTCCACTGCACAATCTTCCATTGTGATCAAAATTTCCATACCACTTCACATGGTAATTTCATAATAAATCCATCAAGTGGTAAGTAACAATACCATTTACATGCATCCTCCACCTGTTAATCAACCATTTCAAATTAACCACTTCAAGACAATTAATTATATACTATATATCAAACTTCCAAATTCAACATTTCTTATATTTCCAAAAATTTCCTCATTTAAATACAAACATGGCAATCCTCCACAATTTATACACCATAATACTTTATAAATCATAAATTTCATAATCTTAACATTTTTCCATAATCCCTAATTTATAGGGTTTCACCAAAACTTGATTTTTCCCTCTTTTATTTATTTATTTTTTTTTTATTTTTTTTTTATAGGGCCTTGCCCAAGCAACACACACATATGACAACATTGCTCATACTCTTAAAGATTTGGAGAATATAGAGAAAACCCACTTTAAAAATCATTTGGAGTACAAAAACCCAAAATCATAAGTTCAAATATAAGGAAAGCTCCCAATAAGCATAGACTTGCAATATATATATATATATAACTCTAAGAAATCCCTACCTCAAGCCTTGGAGAAGGAGAGAGAAGAAAACCCCCAAATTTGACGATGTTGAAACCCTATCTCCACCGCACAAAATATAATCCTCGAAGAGTTCTCCAACTTTGATGAAAGAACTAGGGTCAAAACTTTAATGGATTTGGAGAAATCAAGGGTTTAATGTAGTTTGGTGAGAGAAAAGTAGAGAGAAGGGGGAGAAATGTGTTTTAGAGAGAGAGAGATAGGAGAAGAGTGAGGTGGGTGTTCAACACAAGAAAAGAAAAAAAAGGAAATTTTTGGACTCAACACGCTTCCACACCTACGGCACCCATTTCCGCAAATGCGGCACGTCCTTCTGCACGTGCAGCACTCTTCCCCGCACATACGACTTACTCCTCTGCACCTACCCTTCGCTCATGCAATTAAAGTAGTACTGAACCATTGATGGTTTAACTCATCGCATGTACGGCCTCACCTCCCGCATGCGCAGCCTCACTTCCGCATGTGTGGTCCTGCCTTCCACCTAGGAAATTCACTAGTTGAACCCAAGACACCCCTGATCCAATTACACGCCTTTTGAAAGAAGCAACACCCAACTCCAAAATAAAATAAAGATGAGAATCTGAAGAAGGTTTCAAGAGCGGTGAACCCAAATGGTCGACAAAACCTCAAGTCAATCCCCGACACTTCTAACAGAGTAAGCTAATCACAAATAAAAGAAAAACAAGATGAGTTACGTACCTGGTCATCACAATCTTAGTATTTCTTGACCAAGTGTTTGGCTAGCTCTTCAATGTTGAAATCAATGATCAAAAAATTAGAGGGTACAAAGCAAGGAAACGTAGAGAATTAGAATTCAGAGTGTCTCTTTCATTTGTAGAAGATGGGAGCTATCTTTTATAGGGTTTGCATCCCTAGCTCTCCAAGAACAACATAAGGATCATTGTTTAACATGCCTCCCCTACTTGGGTTATGATCATCTTAAACATAGGACTACCATTCTATTGTGTAGAATATTCACGAGACAATTTGTTATCCCATATGATTGAACTTTCTCATTTTAGTCTGGTAAAATCCTTGAGGCTTTAGACCATCTCCAACGGTTTATCAAAGTTGACATCAAATTCAAATTTTGATGAAAAAGTTACTGTTTGGTGCTCCAACGGTTGCACCAAATCGATATCAAATTGAGATTTCATCAAACAATTCATCAAACTGAGGACAAGATACTGATTTCACCAAAACACTGTTTGTGACCGTTGGAGGGAGGACCCGGTCGACCAACTGGTTGCCCGGCCGGTTGACTAACCGGTCGACCGATTTCCTTTATAATTGGTGGGTTCAGACCGGTCAAAAAAAGTTCAAACAGGTAAAAAAAAAAAAAAAATTTATTTTGCCTTACCGGTTGACCGGCCGGTCAACCAACCGGTCGACCCAAACGAGAATGAAAGCTGCAAATATGATTAGTCTGTTATCAAATTAAAGAAACAATTGTTTAATCATAGATTCATCTGATTGCTGAGATATGCACAATACGTCTTTACTGAAACCACCAAACATCTTTATAGAAATAATTGATGAATCTATTGATGAATCTATGAAAGCTGCAATTGTTTACATCATGAAAAATATTTACACTTACCGGTCGACCAACCGGTTGACCCACGGGATTCGATACGGGATTTGATGTACTGTTGGAGCGAGTGGTATCAGATTTGGTGAAATAGATCATTTTTTACTCAGATTTAGTGAAAAAAGAAATTCACCGTTGAAGATGCTCTTATATAACTTGTAACTCTAGATGAGTGAACCCTATCTAGCTTGCCCAGGAACCTTGGTCAGTATTCATTTATGCCTTGCTTCACCTACTACTAGTGTTGCTAGGTAATGAGCTTAGCCCAATCTAGACAGGCCCACATTAGCATGTAGTAGGTCACCATTTAATCCTTGTCTGCTCACACTCAGTAGATTGCAATAGCTTGGCTCGAGGCCATAACTTACTTAGCCTAAGGCCACATGCATGCTCATACCCAAACGGGAAAGATTATGGTACATACTCTTGGGTACCATATGCACCTCATAATTAAAGGAGCAAATAACATAATTTTATATTTTTTTGAGTTATAATTATAAAAAAAAGTCATAATTAAATATTACATGAGGCATAACAAAATATCTCAAAAAAATGTCATAATTAAAAAGGAAAATTGATTATAATTATTAAAAAAATGACATAATTAAAGATGCATATAATAAGAGGTATGTATTGTAAAATTCTCCATAAAAGAATAGTAACATGCGGCAAAATCACATCTCTATGGTGAGATAAAAGCATTACTATAATTTAACATTGTTATTCCTCGATTTGTTTTTTATTTTAAGAATTTGTGTTAGATTATTTGATATAATTTCTGTTTACACTTTATTAAGTAAAAATAATTTTTAAAAATTGGAAAAAAAAAACAAACAAACTTACTATTTACACAATGAATAAATGATGCTTTTGACTTCTACATTTAGATTACAATGGCCTTATTTGATTTGACTCTTGAGAGTCAATTTAATTTTAAAAATTTATTTGGTTGAAAATTTTTGAAAACAATATCCAAAATTGCTTTTCTCTTTATAACACATAAATCAATAATTTTTTCTCTCTCCTTCTCTCACATTCTACACATCAATCAATCACTTTTTCTCTTACATTCATCTATTTAACTACAAAAAAAAAAATTACACTAACACCCCCTTAGGTTTCTATTTAATATAGGTTTTCCCATCACATTTGAAAATTTACATTCCCCTCTCAGAGGTTTGTAATTT